CGTTCATTTCCTTTCTTATCTCACGTTCCGCTTCAGGAAGGAGCTGTGGATGATCATCATGCCGAAACAACGGTTGACCTACAACTCGATACTGGGCCTGAACACATCCTTTGTACGAAGACGGAGCTGCTCCACTCCTGTGTGTAGACACGGTGTTGGTGGTGGTTTCCGTTCTGGGAGTCTTGGATCCTGGATAAGACGAGACGTGTTTGGCCCCCTGAGACCTTCCTGTCTCCTGGCTTGAGTTCACAAGTTGGACTCGTCTATTCAGAAGTCTCCATGTTGGCACCAGGATGTAGAAACGCCTGGTAGTACACTTAACTCCGCTTTCTAGGTTGTTTTTATTTATTTTACAATGTTGGCACTGTGTTATTCAGTGAAAGGCACTGACTTCTCCTTTGTGTTGCTTTGCACTGGCATTCAAGTCGACTAATGCTGCCTTAATTGTTGACTGCATTTTGCATCTATTTTTCCCCCTCCCGCCTCTGTCGGCTTTTGTCCATTGATAATAGTCTTGGCCAGCGTGCAGCTGTAGAGCTCCATGTTTGCCTGTGTCTCCAGCAGCACACAGCTGACCCACTAATAGAGGGGTTGTGTGAGGAGAGGCCGGAGGCAGCAGAAGGGCTGCAGAGCTGCGGCTTAAAACAACCGGCCTCCGACAAACAGCATGGACCTCCCGCCGAGCGAAGCTTTGAGGAACACAGAAAAAAAAACCTCAGTCACAAGAAAAGGAAGCATGAAATAAGGCCGGAGTGCTGCAGCTGAGCCGCACTCTTCAGCCTCGAGCATCTCCAAACTTTTTGAAACGACCCCGAGTGACTTTAGACATGACGCAGTCAAGATGGCTTCATAACCTGAGAAGCTGGTCCCTGAAGGTTTAAGTGCTCGTCCTTGCTGCCCAGTGCTTTGACATTTCTCCTCTTGAGTCATAATGCAGACTGTAAAAAGAACGCCGTCTTATTCATCAGTGACAACACGGAAAGGTTAATGCTGACACACGTCGTCTGAGCTTCACTCCGCTTGTCCTTCACTCTGCGTATGATTGACGAGGACAACTGTCTGGCTGCCGTATCGAAAAATGGAAAATGATTGCCACCGGGCTCGAAAGTAACGGTTGCCATTGGGATCCATTAACATATTAAAATATAGGGACAGCAAACAGAAATTGAGATTGGAGGACATCTCTGAAAGTAGTGATGATGGACAAGCTGATGTTGGTGCCCAAAGTCCAAGACTTCAATGCTGAAGGTCCGATGGATCCGTGGTGGGAAGAGACGGTTTCATAAAACATAAAAATAAGTTCCTCACAGTAACTTTTAGATGATGTGTAGCTGCATAGCATCTTAATAAGGCGACTAAAAATGGCAACCATATTTTCAGATATGTGCAGATGCCACATTTAAAATGTAGGGTTGAGCCCTGAATCAGCCCCAGTAATCACTGTGGGACTTCAGTATCAAGCGGCAGAAACTGGACTCTTTAACGTAACCAGTTTAGCTCCGGTTTCCATGTTGGCTCGTAGCCGCGGCCTGGACATAATCAGCCTAACTGACAGGCAGAAGCAGAGGCGTTGTGTACACCCACTACTGCATTCTTCTGAGGTTAGATATGTGCCGGGTCCATTCCAACACTTTTCCAGCTGCAGGAACATTTCCATTGTCTGGCGTTAATCCGTGGTGACTTTCAGGCCCCCTGCTCTTGTCTTTGTGTCCACAGGGAATCTCTGTGAAGCACAAAGCTGGAATGTCGGCAGAGGACCTTGACTGACCCTTTTTTATTTCACCGTCTCTGCATACGGAGTACTAAATCTGCAGATATTACCTTCTCTGTAAATTATAGATCCAGATTAAAGGGATTAACTAATCCGTCAGAATCTGTATAAATGTAAAGCTCAGTGGACTTTGCGTTCAGCTTGAAAGCCGGGCCTTCTTTTTCTGTGACGCCTCTTCTCCACTGCACACCAGTGACTACGTCAAACACACACAGATTGTTTTTTGTGTGTGTGTGTGTGTGTGTGTGTGTGCATGTGTTTAAGGGAGTGTAATTCAATATTGCAAGCACAGAAGGAAGGAAAGCAAGCTAATACAAGACTGTTTTGTTATCTGGGCCACGTTTGGCTCAGGAGGATTTGATTTCCGTCTTCTGTCTTTGGGGCAGACTTGCCGGGAATCTCAGTCCAGGAGAGAGGATGAAAGAAGCAGAAAAAAAACTCATCTTGTGTACAAATCACAAGCTCGACTGAGTCACTAAAAGTGCTGATCGAGAGACAATCTTGGCTAAATGTTGTGCTTTTGTTGCCAAGTGCAAGATTTTACAACTAAACACCATCAGCCCCTTTGTTTTGTTTAAGTGGCTGGTTGGCAAATGTTGCGCTGCTCCTATGATTGGTTTAGGAAAAAAAGAGGATGATGCCAACCAGAGACAGGAAGCTGTCATCCTGTCTTCAAGAGGCCTGTGATGTATCGCTGCATCGTCTTCATGGTCACACACACAAATGAACAGCAACATTGGCAGCGTGGTTTGCGAAGCTTTTAGCCCACACATCCAGCACAATGATCAGAGAGACACACATGCCGGCTCAGAGCTGTTGTCTAAAGGGATTAAAGATAAAAGTCTCAGACTGTAAATGTTTGGCAGCACAATATAGCATTCAAAATAACACATACAAATCCCCTTTGTTCTATGTATAAAGCCATATAGTTATGAATGAGCTGTGCTGCTTCCCTAAAAAATACCAACATTACTCTTCCTAACTGGCTTTCACGAGTTCACTTTTTCATCACCCCCAAATTGTATCTTAAATCATACATTATCATTTTTTGTCATATTCCCAGCAGAGATGCGTGTGGGTTAGTTTTGATGATGTGAACATTGTCGCCTTTTTCTGATAGAGTATCTGACTTTAGGGCAAAATAGTGACGATGATAAACCAGCCACAAGTATTTGTCAGTACTCGTGTTGATACTTGTACATCTACGGCGGGTTTAACCATAATCTCGCCGTGATAAACTTCCCATGCACCCACTCATTTCCTGAAGTGGCTATAAATGCCTGCTGGAGTATCGTTGTGTGTGTGTGTGTGTGTGTGTGTGTGTGTGTGTATGGGGGGGGGGTCTGGCAGCACACTATAAGTGTAAAGGAAAATAGTCACACGCGTAGTCTTCTTCAGGGTAGTGAGAAGGTGTCATGTTGAAACGTCGGTAATTTATGAAATATTTTAAAAAAAGTTAACACTTGTGCTTTCACCGTGATCAGCACCTCTCCAACACTGGTGTGTGTTCCCCCTCTCTCGCATCCTGAAAGAATGGCAGCCATCAAATTATACAAAGAACTGCAATAAAATCCACAACAACGTCGCCCTCTTCTTGTGTGAAGATTTGCTCCTTTCGCTTGTCTTGCAGTTATGTCAAATGAATATTATCTTTAATTGTAGTTTGGACAAAACGAAACATTTGAAAGTGTCACATTGGACTTTGAGAAACTTACAATTTTTGTTCTCCAAACAATTATTTTCTCGACTCATTAAATATATTAGCAGATTAAGCAGTAAAGAAAATAATCATTAGTTGCAGCCCTAGTTTATCAGAGGGCTTATACTACATACATTTCTGCAAAAAGTAGTGATGAGGTGTGAGAATACCTCACAACCTGAGCACATAAAACCAAAGCTATCACAATGTACTACTAGGGACAAGTGGGAAAACATGTATTTAGTAATTTAGGTGAATTGACGGTTTAACCCACAGTTGCCCCAAATTTTGCCCAATCAGGAAGCTCTGTCGTCATTAAGTTAGAAATAAAATAAAGGCTAAAGAGCCAACAGGGATTTCTTCGGGATCAGGACTTTTTAGGACCTGGCCGCCTGCCACTGCTAAAGCAGCAAACGCAGCTCCTGATTCATGGTATTGAATTGGCCCAAATAGGCAGGCGCAGTCCATTAGACCAGTGATTGATCCAATTAAGTTGCCGTAGAATGAGTGTGGCAGAAATCACTGGAAGAATGACACAGAATGCAAGTGTGGGTCTCTTTATCTTGAGTTAGTGTGTGTATCTTAGCAGGTGTGTGAGCCTATTGTTTGAGGCATTCTTGATTTTGACTGCGTGTCAACGGCTGGAGATTGTTATGGCTCACCAGCAAGGCCTCCAGCTAATGTTGGCTTGGATCTGTCGCCATATACATCTCATCATCATGCAAGGATAACCCCTGAGTCAACACGGACAAGCTGCGTTTCGGAGAAACTCCCCTGAGACCTTGTGGAACGAGAGAGATTACACGAACAAACGCAGCGACGGCTGGATGTCATGCGACATCTCCAAAACAAGCTGGAAGTGTTCTTGGTGTAACTTTGGGAGCAGATAGAAGATTGGGATATTGACGTATAGTGTGATTGTAGTTGTACATCCTGTGCTGTTGTGGTGGGTCGATTGTGGAGACGTAAGGTCACAGTGTTCCACAGTGTGTGTGTGTGTGTGTGTGTGTGTGTGGGTTCGTCCATGTTTGAATAATAAGCTGAATGCCTCACTGTGTGGAAGTGACTGGGATCTTTTTCTTTATGTGTAAGCCTTGACTTAAACTTTGCTTTACTAATTTTGTAAAAGAAAGTTCAAATGTTTTTGTTTTCTCTATAAATAAACATCCTGATAATGACAAATGAATGCAAAATCATTTCTCAGTCTCTCTCCGCCTGTTTGAATATTCGTCTTATTTGCATACTAGTTGCATGATGTTTCTCCTGGCAGTGTGAATGTCAGAACAGAGAGATACCCACAGATCCATGTTTTGAATTTGTTGAAATGTGTTTGTTTTTTTCCTCCACCAAATATACATCAAACTGAAGTCATTAACATTACATTCATGCAGAACTTCTCTTTACAACCTTTACCACATACGTCTGATTCACAGGTCAGGTTTGAGCTTCATCACTGAACCTCACTGTGTATTCACAACACACAAGTACTTCCTGATGCTGTATTTAAACCACCTCCTGCTTCCTGTACAGGAGCGGTCTGAGGACCGGGACCTCGGCGGGTTGGGAGAGCAGGCAGCAGATGGACAGACCCGACTGACGGACATCTCCAGCTGCACAACGGGCGGCAGCATGGCGTCCATACCGGAATACTACGCCGGCAAGAACGTGCTGATCACAGGAGCAACGGGCTTCATGGGCAAAGTGCTGGTGGAGAAGCTGCTGAGGTCCTGCCCCGAGGTCAAAGCCCTCTACCTCCTGGTCAGGCCCAAAGCCGGGCAGTCCATGCAGCAGAGGGTCAGCGACATGATGACGTGCAAGGTGAGAGCTGAAGGTGTTAGCTGATGCTTTGACTTCACTGTTACCCAACTTCATCTCCGGCTATGCAAAGTTACATGGAATTTACCGGTACATTAGTTTCTCAAGGTTGAGTACATAGCAATGTAAGTGAAGTAAAGTACGACTCCCAAGGTGCATTGTGGCAGAGATTATCCAATCACTAAGCTTTGTATTCTGTCGTGTGTGCTGCGAAAGACGAGTGGAAGCTCTTTAGAAACCTGACAACACAATCTGCAGCTTAAATAAAGCTTCACTTTCAGATTCAAAGTCTAATTTTGATCAATTTCAACAACTACGGCTTCTTATTTTGTTCCCACATGTTTTGAATTTGCTACAGCTGTGATTGGAACATCTGACTGGCCGTTTTTTGAGAAAGTTGAACCATTACAGCATCATTTCTGAGGCCATAAAACCAGGAGATTGTTTGGACATTTTGGCTAGTGGGGCTGTTGATTCAAATCATCATTCAAATCCAGGGTTGTTCAAATGGCATTGCAGCTGTAAGTGTGTACAGAGCGATGGAAATTTGCCTGTGAGTAAACAAGCGGCAGCTGCTGTTGCCATGGTGAAGCAAACTTAATGACCCCAAAACAATATTTGAATTTTAGCAGAGACACGAGGCGTCGGAGAGCGAAATGAGGAGTCTGATCAGGAGTCGTGAAAGGTTAACTGAACTGGACGGTTTCTTATTGAAAATACTGACGGGGAGAAAGAAGAGGGTGGGAAGTGGGTAGAGGAAGGTTTTAGGACAGAGGAGGTGAGGAAAGGAAGATCAGGGGAAGGGAAGGTGAGGGGAGAAAGACAAAAACCAGGGGAGGGGAGAGGAGTGAGGATGGGGGACGAGCTCCAAATATATGTGCGTCAGCTGCATCGGGCCAAGCAGCAAAGCATGACTCAACGAAAAACAATTTTGGGCTCGATGAGGAGCGAAGCATTGGGTGCGTATTGATGTGCTGACAAGCAGCTGCTCTGGTTGGGTGTTGTTGGCCTCAAACTGTCGGCACACTTAAGAAAATCACACTTTCACCGTGTTCCCCTTTCCCTCTCTCTCTCTGTCTCCCTTTTTGTAATAGCATCTATTTTGTTCCGCTCCCATTGAACCTCGGTACTGCATTCATTACTCTACTCACTACTTTCGAGCACTTGTGTTTCTTTTTCTTTTACCTCCCCTCCTTCCGTCAAGGAGCGCGATGCTTCAGTCATTCGGGATTCGTAGAATATACCCCTCACCATGTAATTAGTTCACTCAGTGCTGTTAAAGTGCCAGTTCACACCCTGTCATTTCTGCACATCAGAGTGGGCGACAGAGATGGATACAAACACCTTTTTTCGAAATCCCTGTTCCTGTTCTGCTGCAGCTTATTAAGGTAGCACATAAGCAGTGATAATCAAACTTTTATTGCGTCTGCGACACAGCAGCCACTGGTGAGCTATGCAAAGATGTAACGGAAGACAGAAGGAGAGGAGAAAAGTTTGGTTAACAGTGGATGATGATAGTATTTAACACACTTCAACATGTTATTTAACTGCTGCTACCGTTTGCAGTACTTCCCCCTCTTGACAGTTTTCTATTGGATTTTTGCATCACTCTTATCGTGTCCTCAGCTTGACGCTCTGCCAAAAACAAACTGCCTCACGCTCGACCCGCATTCAGAAGTGATGTCATTAATTTCCATGACCGAGCCTCGAGCTCCGATTGGTATTCATGCGAGTCCACGGGTCGGTATTACTCTATTCAGAATCGGCATAATTCATGAAGGAGAACAGTGGGGTTTTTTTGTCTCCCGAGTAGCCGCTCCTCTCCATCCTTCGAGCCAGGCCAGTATCTTTCTCACCACCTGTTGCTAGGAAACGACCATCTGATCCGTCCCATGGTGGGGTTTTTTTTTTTTTTTCTAGAGGATGCAATCAGGGGAGCTGCCCCGGGCAGTTAAAAAAAGAGACGAACGGATAGGAATCACATTGTCTGTGTGCATCTCCACTGCAGCGACTTTGACATTGAAGCGCCGTCTGCCTGTTCGGAGGCTACTTTGATTCAGTGGGAATGTTTAGACGGCTGCAGGCCTTTTTGCTGCGGTGCCAAGCACTGAATGGCACGTCAGGCACTTGATACAAGTAGGCCACTGGGTACACAAGGCCTCTCTCCTGCTCTGTGGCATGCTCCCCCACCCCCCACCACCCACTAGCGGGCTTTTGAACCCAGTAACAGTCGGTGCAGCATCTTCATACTGCTGATCCAGAGCTGTGACTGCGAGAGATGGGGATGTGGGAGGAGGAATGCTTCAGGTGGGAAGGGATCATGTGGAATTTGCCTACAAGGCAGAATCCTGGATAAGGGAGGGGTGTATTCTTATTGGTAGAGAATTACTAATGATCATTGATTTACAGGCTGTTCGTTGTGGCAGCTGTACCACAGATGGTGATGCGGTTGTGCATCAGGAATCCAAAATGTGTAATGCATCAGGTAAAAGGGACTAAGACACGAGGAGAGGAGGCGAGGAAACGAATCGGGGATGTACAAACTAAGAAATGAGAAGAGCCAATGGTCTAACTAGACTCTACTTCTACTCCTCTACATCTCTATTGTACTTCTACTTCACTATGTTTGTCTGACATCTTTAGTTCCAGATGTGTTGATGTTGAATGTTTGTGATAAACTGAAGGATGAACTGTTCCTATTATTTGTTGAGAATATCCTCCTACTTCCTAAGATAAGAAAAATCTATTTAAAAAGCCTCTTTGGTCAGCTGACAAATGCATCATCACAAAGCTTATAAGCGTCTGTCGTTCTTGTTAGAGATACGGGGTTCTCAAAGAACAGCCACCAGACAAACATATGATGATCTTTTAGAACATGGAGTATTTTCACAGTGTGGTTTAATACTTTTACCTCAGTAAAGGATCTGAATACTTCTCCCACCACTGCCTGTCTCATTGAGTCATTGAGATGCCTAACAAGCCTGACATACCGGTGCCGATGAAGCCACATTATAGTGACGTCGGTGCTGATGCAAAGGAAATAAGCCATGCCTGTATCTTCATGAAGGGTTGGCAGGAGTTAAAAGATGAGGGCGTGTTTGTGAATGCATTTATTGGAATGATTTAAAACCTGCGAGCTTCAATAGACGTGCACTAATCTGTTAGCAATGGCGTGAGTTATCACTCGTCGGATGCCATCTTTATCTTGATGGAAGTGCAGATATTCATCTTCGAGCTGAATAATGTCTTCATGTCTTCTGCAAGAGAGAGGATGCATGTTTGTAGGAGGCTTGCTAAGTTGTTGTGCATGTTAGACAGACACGGATGCACAGCAGGTTTATACACTGTATCTACGAGCGCTGTTGCACTTACTCACCTTCTAAGTTTCTCTTTTTCTGCAGTAGTCGCTGCTAAACAAGCGGCTCAGAAGTAATTCCTTGAGGGAAAACAGCCCACTTCTCTGTTATTATAGGGTTGGCTGCTCTTTTAGTCGGGAGGCATCAGCATTTGGTCTTATTTATTTATAAAGCTATTTTACAAAAGCTATTTCTTGTATTGTTAGCAGCCACTGTACCGGCTCAACCTGCAGGCAACTAAAGCTCCTACAGAGTGAGGAAGACATTTGCACCGGACTCTGACTCTCTGTGCTGAGGTGCTCCGCGGTGGTCAATGCTTTGCCCATTATCACACTCTGATCCAACATGACTACATTGTTCTATTGATTTGCTCTTGAGTGCGTCCAGGAGCCGGGTGATCTCTCCAGCAGTATAAATATTCAAGATGTATTGATTCCTGCCGGCTCCAACAGGCAGCTCTGCTGTATGCGTTTCCACTTGTGGAGCTGCCTGAATTGTTAATGTCCGCTGTCCGTCTCAATCCTGAAGCAGGAGCGGACCAATTTCTGACCCGCTTCCTTCATTCAGGCTTCACTCGGGTCATTTGCTGTGTCATAGACGGGGACTCTGAGGAGTAGTCGAGGCTGCCAGACTGGCACATTGCGAGCCGGTTTCGCTGCTCATCTGTGGCATGCAATGCGGCAGGCAAGCAACCAATAGCCCTGCAACTCCTCCCCAGAGAGAGGGGTGAGGGGGGGGGGGGGACCGATGCGTTTGCGTCTAATTAGGCCGCAAATTGACTCCAGTTCATGAAACAAATTAGCACGTTAAACGTCACCCGTGAAGTCGTTAAGGGAGCGGAGACATGCGAAGTGAAGACTGGGTTCTTCAGGGGACTGTTGCAGCACAACTCAGTGCCTCCACAGCGTGTGGAGATGCGTCCTTATGGCTCCACAGATATCTATATTATGACATTAAGACCTCTGAGATTCTTCTTTAGACGATCCAAGAGCGTGCCTTTAAAGGAGACATTAGGAATTTATGCATTCAGGTTCATGCTTGTATTTTGGGTTTCTACTAGAACGTGTTTATGTGCTTTATGGTTAAAAGACATATTTATTTCTTTAATTTTCTCATACTGTCGGTCTAAAAAAATCTTCAAAATTAACAGGAAATACTAGTGTAAATCTTTGTAATGCAGCAACAAATTGGTCAAAATGTAGACGGGGATTAAAATTCCAGTATATAATGTGTATAGTATTTAAACATGGGGGGGAATTGTATAGATCCGCCACATTGTCACCGATACCTGATATTTGAGTCAGTATCGGCCGATATCGGTATGGTTGAATCCTTACACCTAGACCTGCTTTAACTATACAGAATCTTCCCTCTGTATAACTCTTTAGTCAGTGAAGTAAGTCCCGCTTATGGGCACTTTTTATAGGAGGGGGAAAAGACATTTGGAGCCTTTTGGGAACACCAAATGAAAATTTCAATAAACTTTAAAGGGTATTTTTTTTTCGTCTTTTGGCACTTTAGTATTGGATTTACTTATAGGATAGTCAATAGTGTGTAAACAGCTGTAGGAAAGCAGTAGAGAAAACATGGTTCCTTGTCCTCACATTATTATTTGGCCTCTAGTCGATAGTGTTTGAGTGCAGAAGC